GGGAGGGGGGGGGGGGGAGAGAAGAGGAGTAAGAGGGAGAGAGGAGGAAGATTAGGATTAGGGGAGAGGAGGAGAAGAGGAGGAGAGGAGGGAGGAGCAGTTATGGTCTCCATGAAAAAAAGTGATAGGTAGAGGAAAAGGAGAAGAAGAAAAAGAAGACGAGGAGTATTTTAATTTTTTTTTTATATTTTTCCTCTTGAGAAGTGTAAATAGGGGCTAAATCACATAAACCTAGTGTATTTGGCTCAATACACAAAGAAAATAATATGAGGCCCTGGACCAAAAGAAAATTTTATTTTTGCAGCCTTGACACAATTTTATGGGAAAAATGGCCAGATTGGTATATTTTGTAGAGGCTTGGTGACATGTTAGTATATTTTCTTTTAGTTTTGTCAGATTGGTATATTTTTTCAACTCCGACGCCATATAGGCCTAAAATTTGACCTGAAATTACTGTTCCGGCTAGTGCTGATGGGATTTTTTGCATAAAACCCCTCATCAAAAACCCATCCTACTCCTAAGCCCCCCTCTCCCTCCTCCTCCTCATCCTCTTCCTCCTCCTCCTCTCCCTCCTTCTCCCCACCATGACATGATCAAGTTTCTATAGTAAAATATACAGAGGGCGGATTCTGGGTGCCCTCCTTCATATCAGCTTTTGATACCGAGCTAATCTTCGCGCCTGGCCGCGCCTGGCGGGGGAGTTCTCCCCCGCGCCCTCCACCCGACCCCAAAAATTGAGTTCGATGCCTTTCTCAAAAACACTAAAACCGGCGTCCCTTCCGTAACTCAATCCTCCTCGATCCGAATCTCAATTCTCAAACCTCACCCGAAATCCCATCAAATCCTCGATCAGTTCAGCCGTAATCCTATCGGAATCCGCTGTACCGGAGGCCACGACACTGAATCACCGCCGAAGGTTTCTCCAATGGGAACACCCGAAAAGGAAAGTGGCAATGAAATCATGGCTCCTGGGGGCGGGGGGGAGAGACTCCGCCGGAATTGTTGAAGAACTCGCTCTCGAACATCATGAGGTTGGAGGACGAGATCGAGCATTGCAAGGGTCGGCGGAAGTATCTCGCGACAACGAGGAGCCCCTCGGACGGAGATGCCATCCGCTGGTACTTTTCTAAGGTGCCTCTGGCGGAGAAACGTGAGTTCAGTTGGTTTGTGTCTGGGTTTTTCCTTTCATCTTTGCCTGCATATATTGGAATCCTAGTAAAAATGTCTAGTAGGTGATATGAGCAGTTGCCATGAATTCTAAAGAATGCCCATTTTCCTGATCTTGATAAACTCCGTGTTGAGAAGAAAGAGGATGAGGAGGAGGAGGGAATTCAAGACAAAATCCCATGTCTCGGGCTGAAAATTCCAGACACATATATGAATTGATTTCTAGCTGAATGTGATGAAACAAATTAGTCTCCAAGAGTGTAATAAATACGTGCTTCTAGTTGCTTTAATTATCATGTCATGGTGGGGAGGAGGAGGGAGAGGGGTGTTGGCCTTCTTGTTTTGATGATGATTTAACAAACAATTTATATCTAATATTATTTGTCTAGTGTTTGTGTTTTATTATTTATTATAGACAAACAATAAGTTATAGGTTGGATGGAATTGCGCCATAACGATCATATCAAATGGAGGTTGGCGGAATAGTGGAGTGAAGCCTATACAATTCAAATTGAAGATCCAAGTTCTAGCTTTATCCGTAAGTGTACCAAGTTGAGCTACATATCGAAGATCTATCAAGCTTGGGTATATTTAGTTTAGGTTTTATGTTATGTGTGTTAGTACTTTAAGCTCAATCATATACACACACATATTTGGTTTTTATATATATAGTTATATATATATATACAAGTTTTTGTTTATGGATTTAACAATTATTGTATACATATTTCATTAAGTCTATAAAATCATTTCATAGGGTTTCAAAATATTGTTTATGTCAAAACATCAAATTTTATGTATATCACATTTTCATGTTTTGGACACACTTGCAAAATACATGAGTTTTCACAAATGAGAAACTCAATTTGAGAAATTCTTTTTCTAACATGTTCAATTTCATATTTATAAATGTTTTCCAAAGTTTTATCAATTTTGGAATTAATTTGTTATGTTTATTTAAATTTACAAAATCAAGTTTTTAATTAGCTCATGTCCGTGCACATGTTCGTGCATGTTTTTGTAAAACTAATGCGTTTTCATAATTGGGAAATACGATTGGAAAAATTTCTTTGTTTACTTGTTTACCATCATATATAAAAACATTTCCCCAAGTTTTACTATTTTTGGAGTTGTTTTGTTATTTTCAATTGAATTTACAAAACCGTATTTTCTGTAGTTTTTTTCTAAACAGTATATCTGTGTTCAAATATTTATTTCTCTCAACTGGGAATTTATTTTTCCGAAATTCTTTCTCTAACATGTTTATATACATGTCTATAAAATTCACACAAAATTTCATAATTTTTAGAGTTGATTTAATATTTTTAATTAATTTTATAAAGACAGCTACGCAAAATTCCAGAACTGTCAGAATCTGTCATGCATACCATAAGTCGACTCATGAACAGTGTAAGTTGACTTGCTAAGGTATAAGTCAACTCATGAACAGTTTAAGTCGACTCGGTAGATGTTCTTCAGCTTGTAACAGCTAGTTTATGAGTCGACTCATGAACAGTACCGAGTCGACTCATAATATTATAACGACTAGTTTTTGGCTGAGTTGTTTTTTGGTTTTTTGGACTTTTCACTTAGGTTTTCTTGGCTATTTGGAGCTCCTATATGTACCCCATACCCTCCAACTTCTGAGAGGACTTAAGAAAGTTTTTAAAAGAGGTTAATAAGTTTTTAAGTGTGTTTAAAGTTTGTTTAAGTTTGTTTAAAGTGTGTTTATAAGCTTTTAAGCATTTGGAAGTTATGAAATCAATTTCACAAGAGCTTGAGTAGATCATCTATTGAAGTAGGCATGTCAAATGGGTGGTTTTGGTTGGGTTTGGTTGGGTCATAAATGGGTGGTCACATTTATGACCACTTAACCATTTATAACCCATTTAGCATTTGCTAAATGGGTCGGTTCTCATCCACCCATTTACTAAATGGGTGGTTCATGGGTGACCCAATAACCTATTTAGTTACGATGCTTTTATATATATATAAGTTTTAGGGATCTACTTACAAACTTTTAGGGGTTTTTTTGTAAACTTGCAGGGGTTTTTGTAAATTTTTAGGGGGGTTTCTGTAAACTTTCAAGGGTTTTCTACAAACTTGTAGGGGTTTTTTGGTAAACTTTCACCAACAGTAAAATCAGTATTAATATTGCTAATAAAATAACCATCGTACCAGCACAATCACCAACTTTTAAATCGCTACCAATACCCGGTAGATAATACTTTTCCAGCTTGAAACCCAATTTCACAAGCGCAAGCACATGCAGACAAATTATCAACGGAAAAACATCAACCTCAAAAGCTTCCTCAGCTTGAAAAAAGACGTTCTGCATATAACGAAAATCAAAATGTGAAGCGCTAAGATCCCAAGTTTTATACACAACGAAAAAAGACGTTCTGCATATAACGAAAATCAAAATGTGAAGCGCTAAGATCCCAAGTTTTATACACAACATTACGACTAGTAAACATTATATAGATCAACAAAATGTGAAGCGCTAAGATCCCAAGTTTTATACACAACATTACGACTAGTAAACATTATATAGATCAACATATGCTGAAAGAGATTGGTATTTTTAGTCTATTGTCTATCGAACAATAATCACTACAAGATAAGTTAAAACTGGATGAAAGTGAAAGGGGCGATTGATCTTAGACTTTTCTTAAACTACCGATCGTTCTCAAACTCATGTATATGATCCAAAAGGTAGTTTGTTGTCATCTCTTCGCTCTTGTTGCAGGCAAAGAACACTTGCAGTATAAGAGCTCGAGCAAATCCCATGGCCTCAAGCTGCAACAACACATGCAATTTAAAAGAAATTAGCCTCTATATTAAGCATCCAATTCAACAACAATATGCTCCAAACAAAGAGATGTATCAGAACACACTAGGCTAACAAGTCTTTTACTCTCATCCGGTAACTTAGAAAACAAAGGATGCAGTAAATCGAGCATGTGATTCAAGAATACCCAACCTGCAGTATTATGTCAAAAACCTCTCATCACACAGGTATAGTGGATCACATCACAATGAGAAAGTAATTGTCAAGTTCTACAAACACACTCAAAGAATATAATTTCTCATTATTTTCTGATAAGATAAGCGACTGTATTTAGCAGAAAAAAAGGATAGACTATAGACGAATGGAATGTGAAATTTCATTTGTGAGCATTTGCATCTTAATCAGAACAACTTTGAAACAAAGCAAGAGTTCCCCTAGTTCCAAATATGACACAATTATGAACTTCTCAACAATATTATGACATATTCTTTGTTTTGCTGGTCTCATTTCATGGACCAACAAATTATGAACTTCAAGAGGAAAACATACATGTCTTCTTCCATACAAACAAAGGTCAAAGAACAGATGGTAACAATTACTAAAATAGTTTCTTTGGCTAACTGGAGCGTGTTCATGAAACAAAGTGTGCTTGGATACTATTAACTCTGCTCCATATCAAACACTAGGCACACATTACCAATAATTCATCAGTTATACCCTTCTCTGCAGGCAATAAACTATATATATCCAAGGTGATTAATGCAGCATGACACAAGCCGAAGAAAGAGAGAAAGCATCAGCTACCACTCGTCACAACCATCCATTAAATTCATCAGCTACGCAAAGACAATGGAGTTGGACACTCACATGAGACAGGCAACAAAACAACAAATCTAGTCTCTAGTTGCATTTGAAGTAGGATTCTGCTTCTGTAAGCTAAGTGTTCTTTTGTATATGCAAGAAGAATTCACTGGATGTGGTAATGGAGCACAACATAGTTACTAAAAATGTAACATCTAGATGTCAGGAGATGTTCACAATAAACATTGCATAAAAGTTCATTTGCTAATGTTTGTAACAAGTGGTTTTGTATTAAGTATGCGTGTTCTAACTTTACAGCGAGTAGTTTACTTATCATGTATGTCAAGGAATATTATAAAAGGACCATGCTAACAGTTTCCTGTATGCTTCTAATTTACCTCATATATATGTCTCTCCATTGCTCGTTTCTCATCTAGTCTTTTATATTCTAACATATTTCAGAGGAATAAAGAGAAAAAAGTATAAAGGGGAAATAGCATAACAGACTTCTCCATGGTAATTCCTTAAACTATCAGTACAAGGGCAGATAAGAAAACGAGGAAGCGAAACAAACAGAGCACTCTTTCAACTTCGTTGTCCTTAACTGATAGATATAAATTGTCTAAGCTACGTCAGTCTCATCATGATTTGAAAAATAATATTCTTGAATTAAATTGTATATTTATTATCATTATCATCATCTTTTAACCACTGAAAGTTCAGCTACTGAGAGCTAATGTACTTTAAGAAGGCTCAGTGCTAGATCTTATTTCCATCTTATGTGATTTTAAACAAGATGGCAACTTTTATTTGATTACATGTTTGCAAACCTGAGAAATTGACTATATTAGACATGGGGAGGCCTATTCTCTATAAGCATTAAGAGGAAAAAAGAATAAGAAAGTAATTACTACATGAATGCATGTGTATATATAACTGTGATAACTTGGCAGTAAAATCAGAAGTATCAGATCAATGTACAAAACAATAGTAGTACAATGCTTAAACATCAATAAATATTAATACCTTAATAGATGACAAATCTTCTAACAAGCACTTCACCACCCTCCTTCAGATTCAAAATTTTGAATATCACTAAAATCATGCACCAACAGATGTCCTTCTTCAATATCTTCCAAAGCTGCATTTAGATCATAGGATACAACTATGTTAGTCTAATATAACACATGTACACCATAAATTTATAGAAGGTAACAAGAAAAAGTAAGCAACTTACAAGGAACCTCCTCTAACCAAGAACCAAGGCATATTTGAGCTTCGGCATTTTCCGGAAGAAGACGATTGCGGTACTTATCAAGCACACGACCAGCTATGCTGAAAGCAGATTCAGAGGCCACTGAAGTAATAGGGATACTGAGTATATCACGAGCCATCATGGATAATTGAGGACGCTTCTCATATTCTACTTTCCAATATTCAAGAACATTCAGATTCTAATTTTTCTTCCAAGAAAGTTTCTTTTCATCTAAATACTCTTCTAACTCAGACTTGGTCCTACTGACTGAAACTACTTGGCTCTCAAATAGTTCAAACTCAAGCATCTCATCATCACGAACATCTCCAAAGGCCTCTTCCGAACTACTACCGGCCATGCATATATCATTTGATGCTCTCTCATATTCTTTGTAAAGAAGCTTTAACTTATCCAAGAGAGTCACCACATGAGTAGAACCAAGACCCACTTTTTGAAAACAAAACTCTACATATTTCACCTTATAACGGGGGTCTAAGACGCATGCAAAGGACAAAATCTTGCTATAACACTTCCAATATTTATTAAACTTTTTCTTCATATCACTTGCCATGGATTTTATGTCTTCATCTTCACTTGTCATCTCTTCCTTTATGCATTTTTGTATCTTCCAAACTCCACCAAAATACAAGTTAGAAGTTGGGTATTTACTTCCAGAAAAAAGAGTGCACACTTCATAAAAAGGTTTCAAGAACTTTGCTATTTTTTCAGCCTTTACCCATTCTTCAGTTGATGGACAAAATGTAAAATTTGAATCGATTACCTTCAATTGCTCAAATGCCCGACGAAAAGGTAAAACACTCTCCAACATTAAAAAGGTGGAATTCCACCTATTGGACACATCTTGTTGAATTTTCTTTGCACTAACTGAACAAGTTTGTTTGATACACTCTGTAAATTTTTTCTTCCTTCCAGGAGGACTCTTTACATATTTAATACATTCTCTAAACTTGGATAAAGATTTATCAATTATTTTTAAACCATCATGTACAACAAGATTTAAAATGTGAGCACAACATCGTACGTGCAAAAATTCACCATTGGAGACAAAATGCTCCTTTAAAGCAGGATGGTCTTTCAAAATCTTCATAAAAGCATCATTATATAATGCATTATCCAATGTAACAGTGAAAATTCTTTTTTCTATGCCCCACTCCTTCAGTAAATGAAATAGCTTCTCTACTAAAATTGCCCCACTATATGGGGGTGAAACATGAGACAAAGCTAATATTTTGTTTTGCAAGATCCATTGCTCATCAATGTAATGTGCAGTAAGAGACATGTAGTAATCTGATGTTGAAGAGGTCCACAAGTCTGTAGTTAGACTGATTCTGGTAGGAACTAGCTTCAAAGTTTGTTTAAGAATTCTTTTTTATTTTTGGTACAACTTAAGCAAATCAGCTTTAGTGGTGTTCCTCGAGATATGCTTGACTTCAGGATTTAAAAATGTATGTAATTTGCGTATCCCTCGATGTTCCACAAAACAGAATGAAAAACCATGCAATGCAATGACCCTAGCCAACATTTCTCTGTAATTATCTTGATCTAATGACATGGTTTTCCACGATGAATCAGTCTCATCTATATCCCGTTTTGGGCAAGAATGAATATGCCTCAACATATTTGTGGTACCATAACCACTAACATAAACTTGGTCACATTTCCTGCACTGAACTTTAGCTTTCCCATCACTATCAACTAGCAACTCAGTAAAATACTCCCAAACTTTTGATTTTGCTCTTCTTTTACGTATAGATAAAGTTTCATTACCAGATTCACTACCATCATCGCATGCAGTAAATTCATTCAAAGACATAGTAGTTGAAACAAGAAAAATAACTTTTAAATATCAAAACAAATGTCAAAAGTTAATAAAATAGCTTCGTATATAATAAATAACTACAATAAGAAAAGAACACTACTCAACAAAAGTGAAATCAATAGAGTTCTTACCATATAAAAGAAATCTATAGATGGCCTTCTACATAATATCATATAAAGTAGGAGATGTGACCTTAAGAGTATATCAATTATCGGTGGGGGAAAAAATGAAGTAATTCCTCTTGATTTGCTACCAACTTTATAATAGCATACCTATCTCATTAAACAAATTAAGAGTATAATATTTTCTTTGAGATAGTTAAACCAAATCCTTAATAAATGTCTCTGTTGTTCCAAATCATTAGTTTAAGACTTTGCCTGTATAAAGCTTTTCACTGACAATAAGAGAAGGAGAGTCCAGGATAATCAAAACAACCACTGAAATAACATAAGAAGCCTCTTTATCTGATTCAAAAAGTTATTAACTAATAATGAATGCCTAAAATTGTAGCAGTCTTCCACAAAACAATTTCTCTTAGTCGACAGCGGACCAAGACCAAAGTAGTCAAACCGAGGAAAATTAATCCAAAGAAAGATCAAACTCCAGTGATTAGTTCAAAGGAAAATTAATCCAAAGGAAAATTAACCTCAAAATCCAGTGATTAGTTCGATTGAAGACCTGAATGTTGAAATTGCTCGATCAAAGGCCTGGATTTGAACAGGAGAGACGCTCGAACTAGACTCAAACCCTAATCGTTGCCTCCACAAGTTGAAGATTCGATTCTCCTGTTGATTGATAAGAACTAGGGCTCGAATCGCTCGATCGGAGAGAGATGAGGGGTGAAATCGAGCGCTTGAGAGGTGAAATCGAGCGCTTGAGAGGAGAGAGACCGAGAGACGGAGAGAGGAACTAGGGCTCGTGTGTTTGAAAAGAGGGGAGAAAGAGAACGACGCGGATCAGATTGGTTGGTTACAGGAGGGTCCGGTTATGAACTATTTAGACTATATGGAAACAATACCCACCCATTTAGGACCCGCTTTGTTAAGTAGGTGGGTATAGTTGGACTATTTTGTGGGTGGGTATGGGTGGATTATTAGGTTTGGGTCTAAATTGCCAGACCTATATTGAAGTTTGAGCTTCCAACTATTCTCCCTCCACCTCTTGTTATCTATTGAGAAGTTTTCTAAACTCAAACTCTAGCTTTACATTTATATACTTGTTTGAGCATCATTGTTCTTAAGCTAGATTTTATATTTAAGTTTAGTTTTGATTTATTGAATCTTATTGTTACACTCACTCACATTGAGCTTATCGTATTTACATATATATTATAATTGGGGTTGTGAGAGATTATAACATTGAGTCGAGCTTAATTGAGTTCTCATCTATTGTAGAGAACAACTATTGTTGTATTCGTGCTTAATTGTGAGAATCACTTTGTAATATACTTGTACACCGAGAGAAGTGTGTGGCGAGAGTCGGGGATCGTCCCAAGAGGAGTGGCGTCAGTTGACGAACCTAGGGAGAGGTTGTATCCGAGCACTTGAGGGAGACACGTCTAGTTCAACACTTGAGAGGGTGTAGAGTGGGATTGCAAGAGTGTGTGAGTTGTAGAGTTTTCGATAAACTAGAAAACCCTATTATGAGGTGTAAACGTTATTCGAGTGAACGTAGAAAACCTGGTTGTGATAGTGGAGATCTCCTCGAGGTGAGGAGCGGAGACGTAGGTCGTGGGGACCGAAATCCGTAATCATATCGTTTGTTTGTGATAGCATTGGCGCACTTATTTTTATGTTCATATCTTATATCGCCTTTGTATATTGCTTGTTGATTATATTGCTCACTATCTAGTTTAGATTATTTTCCCTTGTGTTAATTATATATCCTTACATATATCCTATAGTATATCTCATTGCTAGGATATTTATCTTTGTCCCTTGTGTTAATTATATATCCTTACATATATCCTATAGTATATCTCATTGCTAGGATATTTATCTTTGTTCATATTGCATATTCTTGCTCATATCATTGCTAGGATATTTATCTTTGTTCATATTGCATATTCTTGCTCATAATTAGTCGTATATCTATCTTGTAAGAATATATTTGTTAATTAGTTTTAATTGACATAAAATTGAATTAGATTAGCATAAGACCCTAATCACCCCCCCCTAGGGTTTAACAAGGGGGAGGTTGAAGAGGATGGGGAGGAGGAGGAAGAGGATGAGGAGGAGGAGGGAGAGGGGGAGATTTAAGAGGATGAGGAGGAGGGAGAGGGGGGCTTAGAAGCAGGATGAGTTTTTGATGAGGGGTTTTATGCAAAAAATCCAATCAGCACTAGCTGGAACAGTAAGTTCGGTCAAATTTAAGGTCTATATGGCGTCGGAATTGAAAAAATATACCAATCTGACAAAACTAAAAGAAAACATACCAGCATGTCACCAAGCCTCTACAAAATATACCAACCTGGTGATTTTGCCCAATTTTATGTATGTATGTGTGTGTGTGTATCTAAGCAATATGAAAGAATGTGGTACCTAGCACATGTTTTATACTTGGTAGTGAGGTGACTCATTCCTATCTACTCATTCAAATGGGGAACTGCATTCACATGGGTTAGAGAGTGCATGAGAATGAGATTACATCATTATCAAGCACAAACTTTATGCATGGTACTAAGTTTATATATATATCAAGAGAAACCAAATTATTAGAGACAAGAAAAGTATTTTGAGGACGGAGACCCCAAAGTAAGAGGTGGCGTCTTGGTTCAGCTCGGCGGAGCGCCACGGCCGGAGCGATACAAATTGGCATTACCAATCCGAGACGACACGACTTTGACACCACAAATTTACAATCGCATTTCAATTCGAAATTTATGTAATGTGATAGTATGTGATACCTTAATTCACTGCTGATCGAAGCATTTAGTTGTTTAAATTGATAGCAGCTAGGTAACATGTACCCGAATGTAATGCAGATTTAAACGAGGAATTCATGTTTCCAACAACGAAAGTTCTTTTCTCTTTCATGATCCATACCCAGTCTCTGGATTTTTAATTATTTTTTGCGACTCGAAAAAAAATTGTATCCTTACTTCTTTCTTTTAAAAATTCAGCAATCATCATCTTAATCGCTAAACTTTGGTAACTTTTGGAGTTAATTATTTAGACTAATATAGCTAGCAATATGCATGTTTGCTCTAAATTGAAATGTGATTGAGCATCGTGGGTGACTCAAATGCTTGCGAGGTTTCATTATGACTCTCAGAGTCTTGGATTTAATTCTCAATGCCTTCATTACAAAAAAATTTTGAAATAAGATTGAAAACTAAAACAAAAAATTGGAATGAGATTGAAAACTAATACAGAAACCAACCGTGAGACACAGTGACCATACGAAAACACCTTTAACATCAATTAAGATAGAAGCCATCTCTAAAGGAAGTTCTAGTAACAACTGCCTTTACCTATTTTTTGGTGAAACGCCAATTAAAATCACGGAATTTCCCTTAAACCCACGTGTCAAGCACGTTACATGATATGTAGCTATTGACTTCTCCTCATCCACGTATGTTTTCGAGAGTGTTTGAGGAATTTGAATTAAAATTTCACCAAATTATAAGCCGAGGTGATTGATTGCACTCAAAACTATTTTCAAGATGGTTCCCTTATTAATCGGATGTGGTTTTTGTAAGCGTCTAAAAATTCCTGTAGATGTCTGCACGCAACTCGAGACGAAGAGAAGACGATGAACGTCATCATCCGAGTCAAGAAGGATTATCCGAGTGGCCCGCGCTTGTCGGTCAGCTCCAAGTGACCGAACGCGTCGGTCAGCCCCAAGTGACCGAACGCGCTAGTCAGTCAGCTTGCGCACGTCAATCAGCTTGCGCACAATAGTCAGCTCCAAGTAACCGAACTGGCTCTCCAGCCAGCTCGCGCGCGTCTGTCAACTCCATGTGACCGAACGCGCTCGTCAGTCAGCTCGCGCGCGTCGGTCAGCTCCAAGTGATCGAAACGCGTCCATCAGCTCCAAGTGACCGTACACGCTCGTCAGTCAGCTCGCACGTGTCGGTCAGCTCCAAGTGACCAAACGCGCTCATCAGTCAGCTTGCGCGCGTCGGTCAGCTCTAAGTGACCAAACGCACTCGTCAGTCAGCTCGCGTTAATTAATCAGCGAAGCATACAAGTCAACAAGACAACCAAATACGCAAATCGGCAGAAAGTACAAGTCCGGGAAAGTCGGGAAACATCGAAAAAACTCAAACAAGGCTTGGAACTTGTGTGGCGTACGGGTCACCTCTTGATGACCCGCGGTCGCGCGGGTCACCCCGTGGTGACCTGCGCACGCGTGGGTCACCGTGGTCTATCCCGCGCCAAAGTTGTCCAAAACGTCCAAAACACGTTTTTTGCTGTTTTCATAGGATTTCTTCTGTTTCAGATGTTCCCAACTGCGTAGATATCATCTCCAAACGTGGTTACACGGTTGTCAACTGAGGATAAGGCCAAATCCATCATTCTTATTCAAAAACCCCCCAACCGAAGCCTATAAATACAAGCCTAGGGCCTCCATTCTGAAGGGGCGGAATCTTATCAAGAGGGTGAGGTGCTGCTGGATTGAGGAGTCAAAGGAGCATGAATTTACAGCGAAGTCAAGTTAGATCCCAGCGAACTTCAGCATAAAGAGGAAGGCTTTCAAAGGATCTGAACCCGTATTTCCCCCGTCCGTTCCTTGAGATTAGGCTTGGTCTTAATCTCGAGAAGAGTTACTGATTTTGCTTGGTCGATTTCAGTGCTTCAAGCGAATACTTCCTTGATAAAGTAGGAGCTTTGTCAATTTTCTGACAACCGGATCTGATCCGCGGCAGTCCACGGATAAACCCCGGCATAGGCAACGATCCCGCACAAGCAATAGGCGATAAACATCTATTGTGTGTAGTTTGAGAGAAAGTTGTAATTTTTGATTAAAAGTCTTATAAAAAGGCTATTTTC